TTCCCGCGCGGGTCGAGAGGGTGCCCCAAGATGTAAATCAATTGGGATGGCAGAATCTTGGACAATCCAGGTCGCTTTCCCGGAGAATTCCAACCGGATTTCGTCACTGCAACAAGGGTCCCGAGGGGTAGGGGAGGTAAGGTCTAGGTCTAGGCTAAGGACTAGGTCTAAGGCTAAGGATAAGGCTAAGGCTTAAGTCTAAGGCTAAGGCTAAGGCTTCAGGCTAAGGCTAACATCGACAGTCACGCCTCACCCCACGGTGTGGGGTCGGCGGATATAGCTGCCTGTGACGATAGGCGCCCCTAGCTTCAACCGCTGCGAGGTGTTTTGTGCTGATGGTGAGGCTGCTGAACAGCTGTGCCCCAAATTTGGGAGAGCCTCTTGAATCAACTGAGCCAAGTTGTTTGTTTTCTTGCGTTCAGACATGCGATGGCCATGTTCATGCGTCCTCGCATTTAGGAAGCGAAGATCCTTCCAAATCTGAAAGCGATAGTTCGTTGCATGGCCCACGGGGCCCAAAGGCTGCTTGAAAACGCCATGCTCAATGGCAGCAGCAAAGTTGCCAAACTCTTGGATGAGATGATTCGCAAGTTCAGTGGTCCATCCGACAACGCCAAGGGATCACTTGCAAGGGCTCTGAAGTGTCCCAAGCTAGCTGCTTTGTTCCGCAAATGTCAGAGAGAGGACATGGACAAGCTGGTGTCTATCACAGGCCAGTTGACATCTACCTGCACCAACTTTGCAGCGCACCGCTGGGATTCCATGCTAACCGCCTGCCGGTTGATGTGCATGAACATCAGCCCAATCCTTCAGATGTTGTGTACAGTGGCTGCTGGCGACAAAGAACATGGCAGTGAGTGGGCTTTGGACATGCTGAAGGCGAGGTTTCTTCTGGATCGAAACACTTTTTCGACGATGCGAACCACAGTTTCCCCTTTTCCAATGGCATTTGTTCTTCTTAGTTTGTCCCTAGGTGTTGACTTTAGACAACATCCTTCTCTTGGGCCTGGTGACAGAGTTCTTATCAGCAGCCGAGAGCTTCGTGCATGGTTGGGACAACAGAGGTGGAACGCGAGGTGGAGGTGAGAACTCAATAACCAACATGCCTCGAAATGCGGTTCGCCGCATTGTGCAAACTGCAGAGCGAGCTTCCTTCATCCGCCGCCGTTTGAACCGCCTTTTCGATTTCAAGGTCCTTGACTCTGATCAAAACCAGCTGCCTTTAGTGATGGACCCCAAGTTTTCGAAGGGCTTTTGCCAGATTATTCTTGACCAGCTGGGCATCAGTTTTCGCAACTTGCATGCCTCTGACTTCCGTGTTTGAGTCGTAAGGGATGTGGGGCATTTAGCTAATCGCAGTTGATGTTGGAACACAATATGGGGATAATCCAATTGGAGCGCTATTCAGTCCTTGGCCCGGGTGGGAAGCCACGTGCGTGATGCTGGAATGCTGCTGGCAGCAAAACCAGCGCAACTAAAGAGTTTGGGGCGCGTCATGTTTCGGGCTGCCTTTCAGGGCTTTGTCTTCAAACTTCAACAGTATGATTCTCCTGCAAGTAAGTTTTCCTTAGTCGAAGTTTCTTTGCTGCCGTCGAGGTAAGAATCACGCAAAGAAGAACAAATCCTTTGCGGTGGTCGTGCATGGGCGGTTGGTTTATGAGCTGAAATGTAGCTTATCAGCATATTTTAGAGATTTCAGAGGGGTTGCGCTGCGTGCCACAAATCCTGAGGCTATGGAATTGATGTGCGTGATGTTCTGGCCCGTGGCTTGGGTGAGATCAAGTGCGTCACCACCCTTTTCCACGCAGGAGTCCAATCTGAGCACCAGGCAGGTCTTGGTGAGAGCCTTGAGCCATTGGACGTGGAAGAGTGGGTTCATCAGAAGCGTTCAGATGCCTCCATGCCGGGCTCTGAGTGGAAAAGTCGGAATTGCAGCCTAAGTAAAAGTAAGTGATTTGGCTTGATGTTGTTTTTGCAACGCATTTCCTTCCACACATTTGCCCAGTCCTGACATCATGAAGCCTGTTGCCAATGTCCTGGGAGTAGAGGCCAGGCTCTGCATAAGTGTTTGTTTCCTTTGCCTTGAAAAAAGGGGCTGCTCCACAGACAGAAAGATCAGTAGATGTTGGTAAATATATGATGGGCAAGGTCAAAGCATCAACTGGTTTTGCAAATCAGGCGGCGAAGCTTGCGGATGAGCTGGTGCTTTGCAGACCGACATGCCTCGAGCTCATCAGGTTGGGCCTGCTCGGAACTTGCAGTCGTTGGTGCGACACCATTCTTGTAAAATCACAGCGCAGTGAATTCGGGAATTCGGGTGAAAACAAAACAGCTTCTTCCTTTCCAGGTTGGTGGCTCCAAAACAGAAGCATTTGAATGCGTGTCTTTGTGTAAAGGCAAGCTCTTGCGAGGCGTGGGCGCCGAGACCCTGAAGCTTTTTGGGCCTGTGCCATCCAACATTGGGGCAGTGATCGTTTGCCCAACCTCTCTGCCGTTGTGGCTTGCAAGAAATTCAGCAGTCCCATCTTCTTTGCGTTTGAACGCTCAGCCTTTACTGGAAGTGGGAAGTTTGCACCGAAAGGGTTCCAGTCTGTTGAGGTTCTAGTAGCTAGAGCCTCTTTTGTTGAATGCGTGTCCCCTCCGTATCGCGGGCGTTCTCCGAACTCTTGTTTCCTTTGCTTTGTTGCTGAAGGCCACAGGGCAAACTTTGCCGACAATATGGTTTTATTTTTACATAAATAATTCTTCTTTAAACCATGGATCCAGTCAAACTTGCCCGTGTGCGATTGGGGCTGCCAAAACCAACCAATGTTGCAGTAGATGTTGGCCCATTATTGGTTCGTCTGGCGATTGTTCTGCAGTTTCCCTGTCACACTCTGTTTCCAAGTTCCAAGAGTTTATGCCAAAGGGATGGTTTCGCAAATGCAGGGGGTAGCGGCAGATCATTTGGGACCGCTGCCAAAGAAAACGCCCATTTGATCTGGTGACATCAGAGTTGGCCCCCACATCTACCTGTTTGGCGATTGCTTTGCTTTGTTGCTGAATGGTTTACAATGGTTCTGACTTTGATTGGCCTGTTTCGTGGCAGTGTGCATTTGCGGTGCAGCCCTGTTCCGGCCCAGTATTGGTCTTTCTTGAAAGGTTTGTCTTCCGCTTTGGTTTTGCCCCTGACACCTTTGAGTTTGACTTTGGGTTGGCCAGCTCTAAGGGGCAGCCGGTCCAACAGCAGTTCCATCGCGATGTCTAACATCTGACTCAGCCCTATTTCTTACGGATTTCTTACGTATGCAGGCCACAGGTAAAGAGGCCACAAGTAGAAATACATGATGATCGTTTGATTGATTGGATGGCTTGACTGAGGTTTCGTTGGTTCAATCTATTTGGGAATCAACATCTGAATTGGAGACAGATTTATCTTTCTTTCGATTGGAGTCAAGGGGGCAGAAATCCTCGACCAGCGCAGAGATGTTGCAGGCGCTTAGCAAAGTACTTCTAGATGGACCACTTCCTGAATCTATTCCTTTTGAGCAGAAGAGCCGCAGCGGCCCACCTTCCTACGAAGTGACGATGTTCGTACGTCAAGTTCAGGCTGTCTACCGAAAAAGGTATGGGACTCGAAGACAAGTCAAGAAAAGCACTTCTTTGCCTCGCCGAGAGCAGGGCCTTCGTAAGAGGAAGTCTGGGATGCAGGCACTGTTGCGGGAAAGGGAGAAGCAGATGGCTAATGGGTCTGGGCAGGACCTGTCGGAGGTCCTGTCGGATTCAGAGGGCATTGAGAGGTTGACAGATGTGCAGGCGAAACAGACATTGGAAGGGCAGAAGCTCCCAAAGTATGAGTCTTACGCTCATGCTGTGCAAGAGGTAGCGGTCAAGAAGAGACGTGTCCTCTACATGTTGTCGCAGGAGTCTGATCCAGAGACTGTGAAAAAAGTTGAAGCTGGCGGAGGCAAATCTCAAGAATCGGCCAACTCTCGAGCGGCGGGATTTGGAGCTGAACCTAGAGCAAGGAAAATACCTCGAAAGCAGTTTGTGCTTAGTTGTGCTCCCGCCTGATCACCAGCTGTCTGCACCACGGGAGCACATGCTGAGCTCTCTCAGCTTGAAGGTTGTGACTTGGTCAAAAGGTTGGGACTTCTTGGTGTCGCTTGCAGCAGCAAAGCATGTGATTTGGCTTGCTTCATCGCTCGCCGAAGAGTCAAGGGTTATCCACTTGCAAGAAGTTGCAGACGATGCAGAAGGATTCCTGCTCGGCAGTCGCATGTTTGGTGGGTACATCGGTACTGTTGAGTGGCTTGATGCCTGCCATGCGTGCCCAGTGAAGAAGACTATTGTACAACCAGTGCTGAGGCTGTGCTCCTGTTTGAGCGAGAAGGTGGAGATATGTTTTCACAGTTCTCTCGCTTTGCACCGTGATTTGGCCAGCCAGATCTACAAAGCATGCCAGCGAGATGTAGCCAGGGCGTCAGGCATCAACTTGATCCTGAGAGAAGGTCGACGCAAATTGTAAAAGCCTTAGTTTGTCCCGTTGTATTTCGCTTGAAGCTTGTCCTAGCCAGTGTTACTCCAGACCAGTTTCCTCATCAGATCAGGACCAAGAAGGGAGCGTTGGCAGTAGTGGCTGCCTCGAAATTGCAGTCTAAGAGAGATGAGCACATGAAGTTGAAGTACCAGGGCTGTTGCATGGGGTACGACCATTTCTTGGGCCGTATCACGAGGCTCATTGACAATGTGTGCCAACAGTGTCATTTCTTGACTGGTTTCATTCGATTCGGGGTCGGGGTGCTCGCAGGCGGTCTGATGCTGCTTGCGGGCCGTGAGTGCTGGCCATAGAGGTGGCCATTTGCTCTTTTGAAGAGTCGTAGTGTTTTTTGGGGGTTGGGGTATGGGCATGCAGGAATCTGCTGGCATGCGTCCAAGTGCAAAGACAGCCTGTGCAAAAAGACAAAAAGAATCAATATTGGAGTTCTATTTGTTAGACGGAGGGTGTTGTAAGGCATACATCTACAGATCCCTGCCCTGGGCCGAGGTGTACAAACGCGGCCCGGGGACATAGGATACATTTACACGATGTCGTTTTTGTTGACTTGCGCATTGAAACAAACAAGGACATGTTTAAACGTGCTGGCCCCTGGATCCTGCACCTGGGAATCCCTGCCCCGGGCCGGTGTGTATAAACGTATGCTGTCTCCACCCGAACATTTTCAATGACATTATAGTGGAAGCAAATCTTTCTATATTTTTTTGGGAGTAGTAGGTGAAAGGCACTGCCACTTGAATTGCGATGAAAGGCGGCAGCGCCGAGTCTAGTCCGAGCAAGCTGCGTCAGTGTTGAGCCATGCGGCAGCAGGTTTTTGGATCTCAGGCTTAGTGCTAACAGACTGTCATGGCGACAACAGCCACAGGGGCCAAAGCTTTGGCCGATGTGAGAAGTGGAGATGGGGGGAAACGGGGAACTGCAGGAAAGCGCAACTTGGCAATTCCCTATTCCCATGCCTATATCTGTTAAATATATGTAAAACGCAATATGTATATATATATATATATACACATGTGTTTTGGGAGTCGATTTGACAGCAGCCATGGGGTAGATTCCTATAGATTCCATGGGGTATCGCTTCACTGTTGTAACCTTCGATCTTTGTCCCTATTTTCGTTTCAGATTACTATATATTTCAAAAAAACAACGAAAGCGTGTTAGAGACCGCTGTACGGTGCACACGCGCACACACATGACTGCAGAGAAAATGGTATATCAAGCCACTGGGTTAGTCTGTGTGTGCGCTACGAACCTCCTCTAGAGCGGACCTCCTCCTCACTTCCAGATCTGGGCGCAAGACTCCAAGATTAGCAGTGGGTGTAAGCCAGCGATAGGACTGGCCAAAACGAGGCGTTGTAGGGTTGAGTGCGACGCATTCAGCAGTCATTTTCTGGAAACCTCAACATATCGAAGCCCACTCCGTTTCCTTTCCGGCCATTGCTACGCATTTTCCTTCCTTCTAGCATCTTCCCTGATCTCCTCCCTGGTCACCTGGTCATTGTTCCCAATCATTCCCTGCGTCCCTCCTTCTTGCTGCGTTCAGCTCAAAGCTGTCCTGCAACCTTCAACACCTGGACCGCAACCCTGAGCTCCGGATCGCAGTGGGCGCACCCAGGCCTCAACCACAAGCTCCGGAGCGGACCGGGCGCTACCGGACCTCAACCGCGATCTCCGCTGCGCAGTGGGCACACCCGGACCTCAACCGCCAGATAGAATGTCAAATGATTTGCCTGCCAGTTACAACGCCAGAAGATATGCGCCAGCCCATGTGCCAGATAGACTTCCCGAAGATATTGCCGACAGAATGTCAGAAGTCATGCCAGCTAGAACCAGAAGATATGCCAGCTAGACTGACAGCGCATACGCCAGATAGATTGCCAGAAGATATATGTCCGATAGAATGTCAGAGGATATGCCAGATAGAATGCCAGAAGATATGCCAGATAGAATTTCAGAAGGTATGCTAAATAGAATGCCAGAAGATATGCCAGATAGCATGGCAGAAGATATGCCAGATAGGATGTCAGAAGATATGCCCCAGAATGCCAAGAGATATGCCAGATAGAATGCCAAATGCCAGATAGAATGCCAGAAGATATGCCAGATAGAATGTCAGAAGATATGCCAGATAGAATGCCAGAAGATATGCCAGATAGAATGCCAGATAGAAGGCGATAGAATGCCAGAAGGTATGCCCGGTAGAATGTCAGAAGGTATGCCAGAGCGCCAGATCGCAGTGGGCACGCCTGGACCTCAACAGCGAGCGCGGGCATACCCGGACCTCGACAGCAAGGAATTGGAGAAGGAGCGCCACGTAGAATACCAGAAAGATATGCCAGATAAATAATGCATGTCAGGACATGTGCCAGATAGAATGTCAGAAGATATGCAAAATAATGCCAGAAGAGATGCCAGAATGAATGTCATCACAGGCGCCAGATGGAATGTGCCAGATGGAATGCCAGGAAGAATGTTCAGAAGATATGCCAGGTTGAGTGAGAGAAGGTACACCAGGATGCTTGCCAAATAAAATGTAAGCGGCAACGCCGACAGAATGTCCGAAGTCAGAATCTAGGCCAGAATGTTTGCCCACCAATGGCCAGAACAGATGTCACACTTGATGCCAGGCTGTTTGCCAAATAGGGTGTCAGTGTCCACATGTATACCTCACGCTGTTTGCCACGGGGGTCAGTCGAAGTAAAGCAATTTGCGTGTCTCTCTGGTTGCGCTACGTTGCTTGGGTCGCTTTCTGCTTTGGCTGTCTTCGCGCGCAAGTCTGTACCTGCCGGAGGATGGGCTCATTGATGAAGCGCAACATGATGGGTCCAGCGTTCGTCCCCTAGTATTAAGACATTGCCCAAAGCGACAACTCCAAAAGGGGCGCTTTGGGCTTCTAGCGTTTGAACGTAGGCCCACTCTCGCTCCATACCCATTCCAGTTATGCGCCAAATTGTTCCCATGATGTTAGATCCATGCATGCGCAGGGCATGTTTCCTCCTTTCTCATTTTTTCCTCTTTCATCAACATTGCGATCCTTTTTTGCGTTGACTACTGCCTATTACTGCGTTCAATCCTTCCCTTGTCATTCCTACGTTTTCCTCCCTTGTCATTCTTGTTTCCTTCCTGACCAATCCTGCACTCCTTACGGTGTGACGCAGCGCCTCTGGCTGTCGAAGGAGAAGCTCGACGCGGTGTGCCCTGTGTTATACCCTTCAGACTGAAGACCTTCTTAATCTATACAACTTGCTGCCAAAGATACTTTGGCCAACCCATCCAACTGCCAAAGTTTTTTTTCATGGCAAGCCCAAACCAGGCAGCAGGAGTGCTGCCAAAGTTGAGTTGGCCAGCCCATCATAAGCTGCCAGAGTTTTCACATGGGAAGCAAGCAAGCAAGCGCGCAAGCCAGTGAAAAGCAAGCAAAACAGCAAAAATAAAAGCGAGCAAGAAAGCTAGCTAGCAATGGCGAGCAAGAAAGCAACGAAAGCAAGAAAGCTAGCAAGCAAAGAAGCAAGAAAGCAAGGAAGCAACGAAGCAAGGAAGAAAGGAAGAAAGGAAGCAAGGAAGAAAGGCAGAAGAAAGCAAGGGAGCCAGCGAGCAAGCAAGCGCAGAGAGCAAGCAAGCAAGGAAGCAAGCAAGGGAGCAAGGAAGGAAGGAGCAAGGAGCAAGGGAGCAAGGGAGCAAGCAAGCCAGCAAGCAATGATGCAAGGATGCAAGCATGCAAGCAAGCGAGCGAGCAAGCAAGCAAGTTTAGCAATGTGGCAAGCAAGCAAGCAAGCAAGCAAGCAAGCAAGCAACGTTTCGTGTCATCTAATTGTTTCAAGGTTTGTTCCTTGAAGCATTTAAGCCATGAAACTGTACTTTGCTGGCAATCGTGTTGCTTGCAGAGATTTCTACGCGCTATTTTGCTGTCCACCTTCATTGGGGCCTTGGCACTAAGGAACAACCCAGATGCCTGATATTTCGGACCCCCAGGTCAAGGGCATTTACGACGAGACGGTCACTGACACCAAGATTCTTGCAAAACGTTTTGAGAATGCGCTGGATGTATGGCTCAAGGGCCGCTCTTTTGGCAAGAAGTTCAAAAAGTTCGTCTTTGGTTTGAAGCCCAGCGCCAGAGCAAACGGTGAACCTAGCCAGTCAGATCTGCAATGTCCCAATTTGTTGCGTGCCATGAAGAAGTTTGCATCGAAGACTTGCAGGCTAGCAGCATGTGTGCGCATATGATGCCATTCAAGATCATTCAAGTTAACATGTGCACAGCTTCTCGCACAGGTCTTCAGACGATTTGGATTCATTTGTTCTATATGTAAACATCAAAGATGGACCATGTGAGATCTTCGTTCCAGGCAGGTAAAGCCTTTTTGTAAATTGTGTGACGTCTGGCTTTAGAGAGCGCCCAGCAACCACACCATCGCGCATCCAATTTGTTCAGGCCCCAAGGACATCAGGCATGAAGCCTTTATTTGGGGATGTGGCAAGGGCCTGGGCTGGGATAAGGATGATGATGAACCAGGCAGGTTTCGACATTGCGTCAGCAGATTCCTATTCCCAAAACGTCGCTTGCTGGATAGGCGTGTTGTGGTGCATGACGGACATTACAGACACGCTGTCGTCCAAGATCAGCATCACCCCACAGGCCTTCTATTGCCTAGGCGTAGAATGTGTTCAGTCCCACTTAGCTTATGAATGTCTGTTCTGTTCGTTTTCGGGCTCAGCATGTGTTTATAACTTGTGAGGCGAAAAAGGTAGACCCTCGGGTTGCGATGGGGTTCATGAAGAACCCTCCCAAGTTCCTCTTGATTGGCATGTCGTTGGCGTCGAGCAAGCCTACGACCCTTCGTGGTGTGGACAATAGGGGCCTGATGGATACGAAGCACCGTGTTGAGTTAGGGCAGAAGTTGATGAGGAGGGAGTTGCGGAAAAGCAAGCCCAAGACCGTGAAGACTTACACATGCCCCAAGTGCAACCATGAGGCCGGCACCTTTTTTTTTGCAGGTGATATCTGTGCTCTGTGCTACTGCTACGCACTAACCTAAGCTGTTTGGCCTGACAGTTCGAGCCCAAGTCCGCCAAGCGACAGAAGACTGAGAAGACGGCCGCACCGTAGATGTGTTTTGAACAGAACAGTGCCTGAGAATCAGGGCATCCTGTCTGACGCCGGGTGTCAGACGATTTTTGTTGCGCGGCTCACCCCTCGAAACCTGCCAGAGACGGACAGGGCGTCAATTGCAAGCTTGCAAAAGTTTCCACCAAGAAAATATCGAAGTACAGATTCGAAGTTTCACGAGTTTCCATATATTAACCAGGCTAGTGCCTGCCGCCGACCCCTAGGGGCCAGACCACAGGCAGCCAAATGGGTTGGGATTTTTTTTCGAAAAATCGGGGAACCCAAAAAACAACACGGAACCCCTAGAGACATGATCTGTGACTGCATCACCAAAGTAGGCAGAAGAGAGCACGGCAAATGGGTTGGCATTTTTCTTTGAAAATCTGGGAACCCAAAAAACAACACGGAGCCCCTAGACAACCACAGAACTTCCTAAAGTCCTGGAAAAGCTCCGAAAAAGGCATGAAAGGCACAAGTAAATCTTGCAAAAACCTTTGCAAATCCTAGAAATCCAGCGGAAAACGTTAATTAGAAAATCTAGGAAAACCCAAGGGCACTGGCAGGGACCAGGCCGCAACCAGGCCGGCATTCGAGGAAAAAACATAGAAAATCCTGGAAAACCCATCGAAAAAGGCATGAAAGGCATGAGTAAATCTTAGAAAAACCTGTGAAAATCCTAGAAATCAAGCGGAAAACGTTACAAAATCTAGTAAAAACCAAGGGAAATGGGTTTGCATTTTTCTTTGCAAATCTGGGAAGCCAAAAAACAACACGGAGCCCCTAGACAACCACAGAACTTTCTAGAAAAACCATAGAAAATCTTGGAAAAACTCCGAAAAAGGCATGAAAGGCATGAAACCTGTGAAAATCCTAGAAATCCAGCAGAAAACGTTACAAAATCTAGGAAAACCCAAGGGCACTGGCAGGGAAGGCCGCAACCAGCCCGGGATTCGAGCCTGGGTGGAGAGGGAGCCCCAATCCCCAGTAAGAAGCAAACCAATAGATTTGGAGAAATCTTGGACAATTCTTGGACAATTCTTGGCTAATTTTGCGACCTTTTCGCCACTTCAGCCAAGCTCCGGAGGGGTAGGGGAGGTATAGGCTTAATCATAGCCTTTAGCCTTAATCGTAGCCTTAGCCTCAATCAACAGTCACGCCTGACCCCACGAGTGGGGTCGGCGGATATATATAATGGATTTAGAATGCAGCACCGTTTGACAACTGCTCATTGGTTGCTTGCTGCAGCAAATTTGCCCAGGGATTTTGTAAGCAGCAATGGGTCCTAAAGCCAAGGCTGCTAAGAAGGACACCGCTCCTTCCAAGGCTAAGGAGCGGGCCCCTTCACCAGACCATGAGACACCTTCACAGACCATGGAGGGGCTTGAAATGAAGCTTGGGCCTTTAATTTTTCTGCGTCTCGGAAATTTGGGTTGGTTTGCTTGATGTTGCTAAGACAAGGTTGGCACGGTAAAGCTGCCAAGGATCAAGCAAGCGGTTCAGTTTTTGAAGAAGCGGAAGCAGTGGCCGTCCCAGGGCTCCAAAGAAGGATCGGTGTCAGGCTTATCAGTGATAAGCAACAAGTTCAAAGGCAGCCAAGTAGAGAAGGCTTCTTGCCGCCGGTTTTCGTTTGCTACTTTTGTGAGCTTCCGTTTGCTTTTCATTTCTTCTACTTATCTGGACTGTCGGGTCTTCAGATAGAATGGCAGGAGGTCACCGCATCTAGTTGCTGGTGACGTTTTTCATCTTTGTTCCCTCCGCTTCGCTTCCACGTGGGAGGTTGCGCACTACCTGTGTTGCTTAGCTGATGTGGACCTCAATGATCAGAACACCTTCCCGACTTGCAAGCAGATCGAAGAGTGGGCTGCTTATTGGTGGAGTGAGGGGAAGGTTTTCCATGCTTCCCCACTCATGGTCCACGCCTTCTGCACGGAGGACTCAGAGCGCGGAAGTTTGATGCTTGCAGAGGATTCCGGCAGGATCCTGTCTTTCGTTTTCGCCTATGCCCGGGAGTGCGGGCTCAAGCTGCCAGATCGACTTGATGGCGACGATGTGTCTGACGACGAGCCGCCAGCAGGAGCTGGCGGTGACGGAGGAAAGGTGGTTGATGCCAAGGAAAAAAAAGTCTCAGAAGGACAGACTTGTGCACAGTTGATTCTTTTCATTTAGACTCATCCTTCCCGATTCCGATGCATGCCACGCACAGCTTGTTGCATCCTGACGATGGTCTTGCAGGAGAAGCTGGCAAAGTATTACCAGATAGCCTCCACGTGTCAGCTCATTCTGACACGAGTTCATGCAGGAGAGCATCGTATTCTAAGAGTGATTCAAGCAGCAGAGGATCTGTCCCAGCGCGTTCAAGAGTTCGGTAACCAGCTGCCAATGCTCTATGCCTCGCGGCTCATCATGCCACTTGGTCGGGTCATGTGTGCAAGGTTGCCGGCTGTTGACGCAATGTGACGCGTGCATGTGAGTAGCGGCTTTTCTTGAGACGATGGAAAGAAGATGTTGAGGGAACTCACTGCGGAGGCTGTTTGCCATACTCGGGGGTTGGTGTATAGGCTGCGTTTGTAGGGTTGTTTATTGGAGTGACGTTTTTTTTGTCACAAGCCAGGCGAGAGTCTTGTTAGAATTTTAGTTGATTTTAGAGTTGTCGTTGCTTCTTTCTTTTCTTTCTTTCTTCTCCTTCGCCTCCTCCCTTCCTCCTCGTCGGATTCCGACCGCGAGCTCCGGCTTGCTGTGGGCACTGCCGGGCCACAACCGCGAGATGCATACAGTGAGTAATCAATTGCTTCTCGAGCGCCTTCGGTGGGCTCGCGCTGGGATGTGGATGGTCAGAAGGTTCGGTCAAGTGCAAGGAATGAGTGAAGAACGCTTTGGCCCCGTGTAGCCTCATCAGTGTAGGCCCTCGTGGGCCTGTATAAGAGCAGCGCGTCGTGTCAAGCCGGCGTCTCGAAGGTAGGTCGGACTGGGAGGACAGTAGCAAATGGCAACTTCCTAATTTTTGCTTCGCCACGCGAGGTCCACCAGTGAGCCAATGATAGTGAAAGCGAAGACAGATCATCGTCGATTTTATCGCCCACTTCTGCATCTGAGTAGAAAATACTATGTAAGAATGGTCGTTTGTGCGCTATTAGCTCGAGTAGGCATGCCCGCATAGGCTCCACTTAGAGCAAACTCCCGCGTATGCACCTTCTGCGTGGCGCAGGCTATGTGTAGGCGACCAGCCTGCTGCCCAAGTGCAGCAGCGCTCTAACCGTCCTCCTTCCTTGCTCCCTGCTTTCCTTCATTTGGGATTTGTCTTTTGAGGAAGCTTCAGCAGCTGATGAATTAGCAAAGCTGCTTTTGGCAAACCCCGCCCTCCCTCTCCTTTTGCGTTTGGTGGCCTGCCAGCTTGCGTGGCCTTGTGTGTCTCATTGCAAGAAAAAGGGGGCAAGGGGAGTGTGGAGGTTTTTTTGCGTAAGATCCTTTGTTGTGTTGCAAAAGCTCCAAGCACAAAAACTATTCATATGCCTTTTGATGTGCCGGGGTCCAGAGTTTAGCGTATTCAGCCAGGCTACGGGATTCCCTTCGTGCAGCAGGGCAGGCCAGCACACTGGAAGCTCTTTTGGCCCACCTGCGTGAGATCAAGTTCGGGTCTGAAGAGACCAGGATAAAAAACGACGGACATGATACAGAAATTGATCTCCACTCGGGAGAAGGCGTGTAAAGCAGGTATCGATTGCCTGACTAAGATTCAAGAGTGTCAAGTCTTGGACCAAGATCGAACTTGGATTGGCAAGTGGTCAGTTCTGACCAGAGTGCCCCTCGGTCAGGATTGCAGTCTATTTACCAGGCTACCGCCTGCAGCCGCCGACCCCCAAGGGATAGAA